TTTGGATTCCCAGTGAGCTTCCGCTCCTTTTGCTTGAAGTTGTATGAATACACCCACACAGGATGCCCCTTTCTCACTGGCGATTAGTAAAATTTAACAACTTTAGAAAGGAGAAACTACTTCAACTAATGAGAGCTGTTTTCAGAGTGTATTCATCAACAGTCGAGAAAAGATAATAATATAATGCTGAGAGACCTCCTGAAGAGCCTCAAGTGAAGGCCAACTCTTGAACCAAATGAAATATTTGTGTGCTTTAGAGAATGCTCTAGTTCCAGTTTAATAGTTTTAGAAAATACATAGGCGCACTTCCAGTTCATACTGGTTTACTTTTTTTTCTTTCCTATATAACCTTTCGTTTAGAATTTGGAGGGTTAAAAAGTTAGCATTGCCTTTTGGGTGTTATGGTGAGGCTTAACTCCATGCTTTAGAGGTACAAATCTTTTTTGCCTTCTTTCCGACCTTAGTTGGTATCTCAAGCTTCAAAAATACATTCTAACACTGGCTGTTCCCCCATTGGGGCAGGCACGAGAAAGGCTCAACACTAGGCATGCTAAGGTGCTTCTTCCTCCCAGCAAAAATATTCTGGGCCCGTGTTGGGGGGGGGGATAAATTGATAACCCATAAATAATAATGGTCAAGTAGTGTCAGGCTCCCTACTGTCTCTGTGTTTTAAGCATAATGGTTAGTTTCTTTGTGGACAAAAGACTTCTGATACAATGATTTAAGCTTCCTCTGAAGCCACATACAAAGCCAATGAAAAAGTGTATCTTTTTGAGGTGAGGGATTATTATGGAAAAAATAGTGGATTCAAAGGCACGGGAGTTTGAGTTGGGTTCTAGCTATTTGAGTGGGTTTGAAGGACTCATTTTCTTTAGACACAGTTTTGTTTTGTCCACACACACAAAAACAATGTTGGATTATGTAATCTTTAAGATTTTGTTATTTCTAAAATAATTATTCTTTGAATTAATTAATAAGTGACAACTCATCATTTGTGTACTGCTTCCAAAGGATATAAGCAAGATCTTTAAAAAACTTATTCATGATATAGCCGTAAACAACAAAAGAAGCATGGACACCCTCCAGGTTATCCAGGTATTCCAGATTCCAAGGAGATATTCAAATGAGGGATACCAGTTCAACATTAAGGAACTCCCTTATCAGGTGCAATACTCTGGAGAAGTGTGAGTGACCTAAAGACAAACAACCTTGTACAGACAGGAAAAGGAAATAACGTGTCTGAGAATTTATACTCCAGTCCTATTTGGGGATTGAGACCTCAGAAAGAAGAGGACTACAATAAAGAGAAAGCTAAAGCTATTTAGTAAACATAAACGTATCATCATTCTGAATATTCTAGTGTTTGCTGCACTTGGAGTGTACTAATTCATCTGAGAGGAACTCTGAGGTTGGAGGAGGTTAGCAATCTAGTTGAAGCTGGTTCTAGAACTGACCTAAGAAAATTGTTTCCTTGTATCCTATTAGTGTTATAAGGTAATGTGTCTTTTAATTTGAGGCCCTCCTTGAATTGTAAGCTCCAACAAGCTTTCGCTAAACAGACTTCATTCACATTCTGAATCTGGTTTTTGTCTCACACATATTAAATTTTACAAAACAGAAAGAAACAATAGAGCTTATTAGGAAAAACTTGTTTTGAATAGTAAATTAAGCTTAATGGAAATAGGCACATGTTTTAGCACGGGTTTTCCCCCCTTTTTTACCAATTGAACATTTACATCTTTTTCAATGTGCTGTGATTTTCCCCTTAAGTCTTAAGCTGGCACCACACACTTCCCAGAGACTTGCATCACTTGTATCTACAGAAGAGAAATCATTGTAATACTGTGGATTCCAAATGCATAGATTTCTAAAAAAAAAAAAAAAAAAAAAAAAAGATTTAAGCAATCACCTCTAAACTGTATTAATCAAATCATTGTGGCATTCTAAGAACCCAAGACAGTGTAAATCAACTGTCAGTTCTGACTGGTTTCAAATTATGCCCCTTTCTTGGAGACTGTTTTCTGTACCTTCAGAGGTACACCTGATTAGATGGTTTGTTACTAAGAGATATGCCCCAGGTGGAGGCATCTTCAAAGCCAATATATTTTCTTTATAACTGGTGTCAAATTGATGTATATATTAAAAAATCTTGGAAAATGATCTCAAAAAGGAAGTAACAGCCCAATGAGCCATATGTTCAGGGAACCTAACAGGTTTCCATTGGGACCAAATTTCACTTCACCTTTTTGTCCTTATGTGCAAATAAAAACTTATCGGTAAATACACCATTAAAACAATCATGCAAATGTGTGCAGTCTAGAGACTGAGAAGAAATTACACTAAACCCCTAACAACCAAGTTGTTGGAAGGTAACAAGTTTGATCAGATATTAAAAATACATAACATAGAATTGAACTCAATTTATTTGAACTCTATAGGTTCACTGCTTCAGAGAGAGATACTTTGCTTCTATAGAATTGGTTAATGAAGAAAAGGCTGATGAATAGTTAATAAATTGCTTAATTTTGATGCTGATGGAGCATCTGAGTCTCCAAGTTTACATTAATAAATGTAAAGTTAATTTTTTTCCCTGTTAGATAGGCTGTTATTTTAACAGATTCAGATGCCAGGGAGTTTTCTAAATGCCAGATGATACTCCAGCACTGGAAAGTCTGTGATGCACTAAGGGCAGAGAGGCCTACTTAGTGGTTTTTCAAACAATGGAAACCAAAAAGCATTAACATTTATTTACAGACAATTCTTTATGTAATGCTTTTAAGAATTCTCCATTTAAAAACTGTTAAACATTCTGTATTATTTTAGTAGGTTCTAACAATTTTACCTTCAGCTATTTATTGTATTGGTATGCCTGAGCATAGTCAAAAAGAAAAAAATGATTCACTGTGTAGTTTTTCATATGATTAGATCAACAATGATGATACAAAATACCAAAATGTACTCGTGATTTTTATTTTGTGTTGCATTTTTATTATGAAACATTACAAACATAAAGGGTAGAGAGCATATCAATGAAATCCTCATGTATATACAAAGCATTATCAAATCTTCACATTTTAAATCAATTTAAAGGAATGATTGGGTGTTTAAAGTTAAGCAAGGGTAAAGGTCAGCAGGAAAAAAATCATATAGCATGGATTATTTTTCAGCTGCTTTCCTTTTCCATTTATGGCTTCTGAGAAGGAAGTTTTATGTTAATTTAGACACCTAGCTAACTAAATAGCAGGGAACCCGGTGAGAAGGGATTGTATTCTCATTCAGTCCAAATTCTTACCAGTTTTCTGTAGCTGTGTTTCTTTTAACCTACTTAAGCCATCAGAACCTTAACGTTTCAATGTGTTTTTAAAAAACTTCTAGGGGTAGTTTATGTAAATCTGTAATAGTAAATGTAGGAATAAAGTGTATTTTAAGCACAAGCTGTAAGCTCAACAATCAGCTTTTAAACTCAAAAAGTAGGAGGAAATTGTATCCAAAACCTCTGGTCGCACAGGT